CTTGGGCCTGTCGCGTGTGCCCCTGGGTCTTCTCGCGGATTCTCGCATCACTTTTCCAGAGCCAAGAAGACCCGAAGACGGGTCAAGAGGGCTCCAAAAGGCCCCGAAGACGGTCCAAGGGGGCCCCGAGTCGCTGAACGATCGATCCAAGACGCCAAAGATGGCCCTAGACGGACCAAGAGGCCTCCAAGACGCACAAGAAGGCCTCCAAGAGGCCACCCGAGAGGACCCCGAATGCCAAAAATCACTGATTATTCGTATGTGGTAGAAGGATTTAGGCGCCCCAAGACGGCCCCGGAGGCCCCCGAGAGGACTCCAAGACGGCCCAAGAGTGCCCCAAGACGGCCCAAGAGGCGCCCAAGACGGCCCAGGAGGCGCCCAAGACGGCCACAAGAGGGGGCCCAGATGGGAGGCCCCCAGAAGGCCCCAAGAGACCCCCAAGAGGCCCCCAAGAGGCCCCAAGAGGCCCCAAGAGGCTCCCAAGAGGCTCCCAAGGGGCCCCCAAACTGCTCCCAAGAGGCTCCCGAGAGCGCTCAGAAGATCCGAAGAAGCATCCCTGAGAACACAAAGACCCACAACCCGTTAGATAAGAATGTACATAAGAACACAGAGGATTCGAGCCTCAGGAAAGGGCAATCGAAAATACGATACGTAAAATATATTAGGGTTCGAGCCGCAGGAGAGGGGCAAACTGTAGGAACACAAATCAAACGCTAAATTCGCCGGCCCAACGGGCCAGAGGCGTGCTAACATCTCCGGTAACTGGTTAACAATATTTCTAGTTCGCGCGCGCGGGGCGGCCCCTGGGGGTCCCCCGGCCAAAAATACCCCGCCCACCGCCCGGCCACCCTTTGTCAGAGATGGTTTTCCACCTGGGTGTGGCTTCTCAGGCCCCCCAGAGCGCACCAAGAGTGCCCCAAGAGGCCCCAAAGACTGCCCAGAGGCCCCCGAGACGCCCAAGAGCGCTCCAAGACGCCGATGATGATCCCAAGACGGCCCAAGAAGCCTCCAAGTGGCCTCCAAGAGGCCTCACTAGAGGGCCCCGAGAGGCCAAAATCATGATTTGTACAATGGTTTTGGAAGGATTTTGGCCTTGTCGCCTTTTCGGCCATCCGATACTCCAAGACGGCCCAAGAGGCCCCCAAGAGCGCCCCAAGACGGGCCAAGAGGCTTCCAAGAGGGCCCCAAGAGGGCCCAAGAGGGCCCCAAGACGGCCCAAGAGGCGCCCAAGACGGCCCAAGACGGCCCCAAGACGGCCCCAAGAAGGGCCCAAGAGGGGGACCACGAACCGAAAACTCGACCCTTCCGCCCCAAGAGGGCCCCAGGAGGCCCCGAGAGGCCCCCAAGAGGCCCCAAGATGCCGCCAAGAGGCCCCCAAGAGGCCCCAGGAGGCCCCCAGGAGGCCCAAAAGACTCCCCACGAGGCCCCAGAAGGCTTCAAAAATGCCTCCCAGGCGCCCCCGAACGGCTTCTCAAAAGACCCCAAGAGGCCTCCCGAAGAAGCATCTTGACGACGGCCCTGTTTGGCCCCCCAAGAGCAACACGAGATGCCAACGCGAGGCTTCCTCCTCCGCCCCTTCCTCCTTCTCCTCCTCTTCCTCCTACTTATCTTCATCCTCCTCCTCCTCTCCTTCTCATCCTCTCTTCCTCCTCCCCTCCCCTTCCCCATCCTCATCTTCCTCCTCCTCGGCGGCGCCACAATGGCCCCGGGCCCACGGCGAAACAGTAGCGATCATGCAACATGGGCCGGCGGAATGAGCGAAGCGATTGAATATTTCGAACTCCCAAGAAACAAGTAATATGTTGGAATACACGTAATACGCACATGACCCAAGCTCCATGAGAAGGGCACTACATAGGAATATACGTAAGACACGACGGATCCGACACCCAGGAGAAGAGCACGGTATAGGAATAGACGTAAAGCACGAAGGGTGCGAGCCCCAGGAGAGGGGCAATGTCAAGGAATCCACGTAAACACACGAAGGATTCGAGCCAGGATGATACTGTGCCAGGGGCTGTGTTGTGCTGCTCTGCGCTGTGCCGCACAATGACGTGCCAGGGAACGCGCCTCGGAACGAGCCAGTGGACGTGCCAGGGGACGTGCCAGGGGACGCGCCGCGCGATGTGCCACGGGGGGACGCGCCACGGGACGCGCCACGGAACGTGCCAGGGGGGCCGCGCCACGGAACGTGCCAGCGGACGTGCCACGGGACTTACCCGGGAACGAGCCGCACGATGAGCCAAGGGGACGCGCTGCGGGACGCGCCACGGAACATGCCAGGGGGACGCGCCATGGAACGTGGCGCGTCCCCATGGCACAGGAAGATAGGGTGGGGCGAAACGGAACCCACGCGTCTTCACGCTTGTTCCGCTCCAGGGCGAGAGGGACCCACGTGCTTTCACGATCGTTCCGCCCTGGGGCGAAAGGAACCCACGTGCTTTCACGCTTGGTCTGGTCTGGGGCGTTAAGAACCCACGTGTTTTCACGCTTGCCCCGCCCTGGGGCGTTAGGAACCATGTATGTTCACGCTTGTCCCGCCCTTGGGCGCTAGGGATCAAATGTTTTCACGCTTGGTCCACTCTGGGACGAAGAGGACGTGGGTCACACGTGGTCCGCTCGGGGGCGACACGGACCCATGTGGTTTCAGATTTGCTCTGCTCTGGGGCGTTAAGGGCCCACTTGTTTTCACGCTTGTCCCGATCTGGAGAGATAAGGACCCACGTGCTTTCACGCTTGGTCCGCTGCAGGGCGAGGAGGACCCACGTGTTTTCACGCGCGGTCCGCTCTGGGGCGAAAGGGGCCCACGTGTTGTCACGCTTGTCCCGCTCTGGGGCGTCAGGAACCATGTCTTTGCACTCGCTTCCGCACTCCCGGGCATCCTGGGGCGCCCAGGCCCCTCATGTCTTGCAAAACAGGCGCTTCGCCGAAGACATGCGCTACAAGTGTTCGCGCAGGACGCGTCGTCCTCGAGTGGGCACGCAGAAAAATGAACAACCAAAAACTTGCTCACTTGTTGCCAAGTTGTAAGGCCTCCAGACCTCGCTACTCGTCGCGGAGTATGCGCAAAGTGTTTTGCCTCTTCTCTTGCACCAAGGAAAACGGGAGTCCGCCGCGGACCCTGTTCTGTATCGAGGATCCGAAGTGTGGGGGGGAGCGCAATCTCCTCGAACGGGCACACGCGAAATGCACTTTGAACAAAATACCCTGACGATGTACCCAACCCTTGCGGAAGGCATGGCCAGAATAGCTGGGCAGACTTTATAGGGGGTGGTGACGTAGCAAGGGGGTATGTGTTCTGCCAACAGTATGTGGGAGGCTCGCAAGGTGCGCGGCCCGCAGGACACCGATCAATGGACACAGTCTTGATGGAAGTGATTCGTTAGTTCCCTGGGTCGAGGGGGAAGCGGGGCGAGGATTAAGAGGAGGCGGGCAGGGAGTTTGCAACGTAAGCGGGGCAGCAGCAAGGAGACATGGCAGCAGCACGAGTGACAACACAAAACTGTCAGAGGAAATGATGTTTCGAGTTATGCCAGCAATCAGCCCTCGAAAGTGGCGACACTTTCGCGGATCGCACCCACCCCCCAGGGATATCTATATATATAGAGAGAGAGAGAAAGAAAGAAAAGTCTAATCTGCATCTGCGTAAGACCCCCACCATACTGGGCCCCCCAGCAGCCCTCGAACGTGGCGACAGCTTCGCAGATCGCAGCCCCCCAGGGATGGTGAGGTCTAATATGAAACTGCTTAAGACATCATTCCGCTGGAGCCCCCAGCAGCCCTCGACGTAGCGACAAGCTCGCAGTACGCAACCCTCCAGAGCTGGCGAAGTCCCGCTCTGCCCTCCGTGGCACAAGCAGACCTCGAAAGTGGCGACAGCTTCGCAGATCGCAGCCCCCCAGGGATGGTGAGGTCGAATCTGAATATGTTTAAGATGCCACCCCGCTGGAGCCCCCAGCAGCCCTCGAAAGTGGCGGCAAGCTCGCAGTTCGCAACCCTCCAAGATGGCGAGGTCCCGCTCTGATCTGCACAGCACCGCATTAAGCTGGCCCCCCAGCAGCCCTCGAACGTGGCGACAGTTTCGCAGATCGCAGCCCCCCAGGGATGGCGAGGTCTGATCTGAATACGCGCAAGACCCCCACCATGCTAGGCCCCCCAGCAGCCCTCGAACGTGGCGACAACTTCACAGATCGCAGCCGCCAGGGAAGGCGAGGTCTAATCCGAATATATCTGGATGGGGCCCCACTGTGCTGGCCCAAAGCAGCCCTCGAAAGTGGCGACAATTTCGCAGATCGCAGCCCCCCCAAAGATGGCGAGGTCCCGCTCTGATCTGCGCAGCACCGCATTAAGCTGGCCCCCCCAGCAACCCTCGAAAGTGGCGAAACCTTCGCAGATCGCAGCCCCCCAGGGATGGCGCGGTCAGGGAGGAGGCGGGAGGGGGGCGCTAAAGAGGAAGGACGCGACCACACTGCTCTGTTCAAAACGAGAACCCAACCAAGGAGGGTTGGGAACAAAATGAAACTGTACCTCGTTGTTCATCAGAGATGATTCTGCCAGCCCTGGGCGAACTCGGCACCTGGGGACGGGGCTTACTCGCTGAAGGAGAACCCTGGGCACACGCCCTTACAGGGAAGAGGTCTCGAGAGGCACCACAAGAGAGGCCCCATGAAGGCTTCTAAGGCGCCAAGAGGCTATGGGAAATGCCCGTTCAGAGGAGGAGGAGGAGGAGGAGGAGGAAGAAAGGGAGGCCTCCTCCTCCTCCTCCTCCTCCTCCTCCTCCTCCTCCTCCTCATTCGCCTCCTCCTCCTCCTCCTCCTTGAGGCTTCACAAGGCTTAGACCGTTCAAACACCGATGGGAAATGCTATCGACATGTTGGTTTCCTGGGCCTCTCGGATCTATGTTGTTCCACAGGCTCTCGGAGGAGGCAAACGAGAAGCCCAAAGTGCCTGTTCCGGGCCTCAAGGAATCCCCGAGATGACCCAGAACAGCCCAAAGGGGGCCCAAAGAGGGCCAAGAGGGGCCCAGGACGACCCGCGAAGGGCCAAAGATGGGGCCCGAGACGGCCCTAAGACAGCACGAGACTCCCCTGGCGGCCAAAGACGGAACCAAGGCGGCCCAAGAGAGCCCCGAGACCGCCCAGGATGGCCCAGCGAGTCCCGGCGAGAGCCCCAGCAGGAACAGAGACGAGAGGCGTCGCCTGCCGCAGCTTCCTGGACGTGCTCGACGCGTCGCCACAAAGGGTGCTGCTCTGGCTCGGTGGCTGGGCTCTGGCCACAAGCAGCTGGGCGACGATCAGCAACGGGTCTTACGCAAGGTGGCATCGCGACCCCACGCGGCGGCTTACGCGGGCCGCTAGCGCGGCACGCCACAGTGGAGACGACGGCGCTCACGCGCTCCCTCACGCGGGCAGCTTACGCGGCAATTTCGGCGCAGACGGCCCCGTTTTTTATTGCGTCCCCCAATTGGGTGAGAGCACCACGCATGCCTCGCCCAGGGGTCATCCTGGCCCGTGGAGTTGCTCACAAAGGCCGTCCTGTCCTGGCCTCAACCAGCAGCGGGGCCCAGGATGGCCCTGGCCAAGCATGGCGGTGCACAGGCGCCTTCTGCACAAAGGCCCAGCTTCCGCAAAAACGGGAAGCTGGAGCGTCTTCGCGCGGGTTTCCTCGGCCGACCGATCGGCGTGGTGCATGCATCGAGCCCCCCTGGGCACTCGCTGCTCAAGTCCAGGTGCATGCGCAGCTGGGAGATCGAGGGGACGTCGTCGAAGCACGGCCCCGAGTCCGCGTCGCTGGCTTTGTCTGCGTCCTCTCGGCGGGCCGCACGTCTCGGCGCGAAGGCTCGGAGCAGCTGCGGCGGCTCTCGCCGCCGCGGCTCGGCGCCGACCAAGGAAGGCCGCACTCCAGCTCCTGGCCCCCCGTTCTCCTCTCGCTCTCGTCTTGCCCTGGGGACCCCTGGCTCGGCGAGCTGGCCGAGATGGACCCCAGGAGGGGCCCGCGGGCCCGCCCCGAGCAGCTTTCTGGTGGCCTTGGGGGGAGCCTGGCGAGGGCGGCGGCCTTCTGAGAGGGGCGCCCCTCCCCTGCCAGAAGCCCCCCTAACGCCGCGCCGCGGCACGGCTTCCCGCAGGGCTAGACGAGCGCGTTCCACTACTCGCAGAGGAACTCCTCGCAAGCGGCCTGGATCCGCCGAGAGGGATCTACGATGAATTACACCGAAGCAGGCACGCGTGTTTCTCGGGCGTCTGCGAGCAGGCACTTTGCGAGTAGTGGAACGCGCCCGGTGAACGGTGCGGGGCTGCAGCAGTTTCCCCAGCGAATCCCGGCTGCTGCGGCGCCTCTCGGCGGTGGACAAGCCGCCCTTTAGTAAACCTCCCCTTAGTGAAAACGGCCTGGGACCGAAACCGACGGACCTGGACCCGCAAAAAGTGACGGCCGCGACGCCCTCTCGCGAACCGAAAACGGCCAATGCCTAATCGGCGTGTCAGGGTAGGAGGTCTATCCACCTCCGAGCCTCCTGGGTACGGGCACCACACGGGCCGGACATATCCCGGGCACGTCGTGAGCTGCACAGCCTCGCCGCTGGCATGGCAAACGCAGGCGCCGCGGCAGCAGGAACCCGGCTTGCAGCGGCCGGCCGCTCGACAGAGACACGGAGGAGACGGCAGCAACCGTTGGCAGTGGCCTTGGTGGACACGATCATTCGCGTGGAACAGATACTTGAATTCACTCATGCTGATCCTGACGCAACACGTCACCGACACGGCGGGCTGAATGAAGCCAAACTTTTCGAGCTGACGCATCCGGTGCGTATTTCGGGCAAGTTGCATTCAGCCCGTGTTCCCACTCGTTCCCTTTCCCCTTCCCCACCCTGCACCCTCGCCCATTTCGCCCCATCCACCCGCTCTCTGCCACAGCACGGGAGATGACAGTGATAGGGTTTTGCTTCCAACTAGCTCCGAAGCAGTTTAAACCGGAGCTCAAGGGGGGTATGCAAACTTGCTCGCTCACTCGCACACACACACACACACACACACACACACACGCGTGGGTCGTTTGGGAGTGCAGGGAACGTCGGCAGCATCAGAAAGGACTTCTGAAAAGTGCCCCTCGAAACCCTCTTAGAGGCCCCTCCTTGGAGGCTTCTTGGAGACTTCTTAGAGGCTTCATAGAAGGCCGCTTCTGGGAGGCTTCCGAGAAGCCGTCCCGAGAGGCCTCTTAGCGGCCTCTCCTCGGAGCCCACGAAGGGCCCGACCCATTTGAGAAGCCGCCTGCCTTCCTGGCAGGCCGCCCGCCTCGCCCTGCCCCCCCGCCCCTTCCGCCTCCGCCGCCGAGAAGAGCACCCAGACCCCTCCCGGCCGCTCCGCTGCTGCGTACCCGGTTGGCCGATGATCCACCGCCACTGCCATATAGGTAGGAGGAGGAGGCGGAGGAGGAGGAGGACTAGGAGGAGGAGGAGGAGGACTAGGAGGAGGAGGAGGAGGAGGAGGAGGAGGAGGAGGAGGAGGAGGAGCAGGACCTCCCCATCCTCCCCTCTCCCCCGTCCTACCTGTGAGAGTGGTGGTGCAGAACTGGCCCATCAGTACTGCTGCTCAGTATTACGGCGAGGCGCGTGTTTTCGCAGGCAGTGCTTACCCACAGAACACGCCCCGTCAAACTTCGCTGTGCACGCCAGCGCGCGCGTCTGGGCCGCCCTCCTGATCCGCTCTTCGAGCTGCGCCTGGCCTAGGGGGCCACAAGCGAACCCTACCCCTACCCCCCACGACTTTTCAGGGGGAAGGTGGGGTACACTTCGCTCATGACCTCCCGAACGAAGTGAACCCCACCCTCCCCCTCAGAAGTCGTGGGGGGCAGGGGCAGGGCTCGCATGTGGCCCCCTGTGGCCACGACCCCTGGGACCCCGCCGAGAACCCCTGGGGGGTCGAGAAGCCCCCCCGCCCCTTTGTTTCGCGCCGCCGGTCCTCCTGGGACGGCCCCGCCGCGGCATCCGGCACCTCCCGGGAGCCCGCGCCGACGGCGCTTCCTGCAGCGCCGTGCGCGGGAGCCCCAGGCTGCCAGCTGTCGCTGGGGGCGTGGGCGGCGGGCTTCCGGAGGCCTTGGCGAGGGCCGGCAGCGCGCACGAGGGGGGTCGGGGGAGGGGGGAGGGCTTCCGAGAAGGCGCTGGCCTTGCATCTGCAGACAAGGCCCACGCCTTCTGTGAGGCAAGGGCTCGACTAGGGGATCGACTTCAGAATCGACTTACCCCGAAATTGAGTTTCCCGTCGGCTTTACGAAAACTACGCAGAGTGATCCGCAGATCTCGGGGCATCATAGGCATTACTCGAAGACTTGACGGAAAAAGCCAACTCTGGGGGTAAATCCGCCGATCCGGCGTGTGAGTTTCTGAGAGCGTGGACTTGAGCTCGCTCAAGCTTCGCTCTGCGGGGGGGGGGGGGGGACGTTATTTCCAACGTCATTTCCGACGTTTTTCGGTACACGGGGATATTTCCGACGTCATTTCCGACGTTTTTCGGTACCCGGGGACACGGGGGTATAGAAAACTCCACTTCCGGAGCCCCGACCGCCCAAGACAGCCCAAGAGGAAGCCAAGAGAGGCCCCAGAGGCCCCCTAGACAATGCAAGAGGGCCCCGAATCTCCGAAACATCGCTCGAACCGCCCAAGATGCCCCGAAGACAGTTCCAGAATCCTCCAAGACGTCCCCAGGATCCCTCACGACACTTCCCAAGAATGCCCAAAGATTGACAAATAGACCCATTCCGCCCAGACCGCACAAGACGGCCCAAGAAAAAGCCAAGAAAGGCCCAAGAGACCCCCTAGACGGTCCAAGAGGGCCCCGACTCGCCGAAACATCGCTCCAAGCCGCCCAAGCTGCCCCCAAGACGGCTCCAAAGCCTCCAAGACGTCCCCAGGATCCCCATCATCATCTCGCTCTCGCCCCCCCCCCAGATCGGCGGTACTGGCCGGAGGCCAGCCCAATCCATCCATCCTGCAGGCGTTCCCCTGCTCGAGGGGAGCTTCTGAGAAGCCTTCCCCCCCTCCCCCCGTACCCCCCCCCGGGGGCGGAGGAGGAGGGGAGGAGGAGGGGAGGAGGAGAGGAGGAGGAGGAGAGGAGGAGGAGGAGGAGGAGGAGGGAGGAGGCGGAGGAGGAGGAGGAGGAGGAGGAGGAGGAGAGGAGGAGGAGGAGGGGGAGGGGGAGGGGGAGGGGGAGGGGGGAGGGCGCGCGGCCGGGAGGGAGCGGGCAGGTCCCGCGGAGGCAACGGCCTGGGCGCGGCCCGCCCTGGCCGCCCCCCGCCCTCGCCCCCGCCCCTGCCCCCCCCTCGGCGCGCCGGGCCCGGTGGGCGGTGGGGCCCGGTGTCGCTGGGGAGGAGTAAGACTCCTCCTCCTCCTCCTCCTCCTCCTCCCTCCTCCTCCTCCTCCTCCTCCCTCCTCCTCCTCCTCCTCCTCCTCCTCCTCCTCCCTCCTCCTCTCCTCCTCCTCCCTCCTCCTCCTCCTCCTCCTCCTCCTCCCTCGTCCTCCCTCCTCCTCCTCCTCCTCCCTCCTCCTCCCTCCTCCTCCTCCTCCTCCTCCTCCTCCTCCTGCTCCTCCTCCTCCTCCTGCTACTGTTGTGCGTATCCCGGAGCATGCGGAACCATCCCCAGGCGAGAGAGCCTTCAAGAGCCTTCAAGGCGGTGGGGCCCGGTGGTATTGGGGAGAAGAAAGATGAAGGGGCCCTGGGACACACAAACAAGTACACACAAACAACGGGATTCCCCATGTTCTCCCACATGTTCTGGGTTGTTGTCTTCCCCCCCACTTCCCAGATGTTCCATATCTTCCTGGGGATCGACGATGAATTGTGTCTGTGTGTGTTTTCCCCTCCTGATAAGACTCGGGAGCGGGGGACTCGGGTGGGCCTGACGGGGCCATCCGTTGCGGGCAGTTTGGTCGGTGGCCCCGTGGCCCAGGAAACGCCACGGGAGCGCCGAGATCGCAAGAGCCGCTCCTGTCCCGATCTGACTCGCGACGCCCAAGAAATTTCGGAGCAGGAGGAGCGGAAAATAAAGACAGGAAAGCGAGGAAAAGAAGGGGGAGGGAGAAGAACTGATTTTTAAGTGGAAAGGATAGGGAGGGAGGAGAGAGAGAGAGAGGAGCACAAGCTGGGCGCGAAAACGTCATATCTGACGACCTGCCCCTCCATCCCATCCCTTACCGTTGTATAGATAGATACCCTCTCAATTCGCACCGTCGGATGTCGAACAAGGCAAGGATCCCGAGAGCGTGCGCGATGCATGGTATAGCACGGCATAGCATGACATCGCGTCAAGAAAGCGACTCATTTCGACAACAGGATCAGATGGACGGCTTGGAAAGCGGGAAGCGCAAAATGAGATCAGCGCGGCAGCCGGAGCAGGATTTCGTCGAAACAGCGGACATGATACCAGCGCTACAGTGGGAGCACGATCTGAAAGGACTGGAAGCGCCGAAACGAAGCCAACGCTGCAGCAGGGGCACGATTTGAAGAACCGAGACAATCAAATAATGTCAGCGCTACATCGGGAACATGATTTGGAAGGACTGAGAGCAGGAAAACAGAGCCAGCGCTGTAGCGGGAGCGCCATTCTGAAAGGACTGAAAACCTTCGGATTGGAAAAACACATCTGAATTATCAACTCGGCGGTATCCTTTGTGTAAACTCGATCGGCCCACGAACCTCAAAAGGGATTTAGAACTGCCAGGCATAGGAACGTTTCCAAGCACCTCAATTGGACGATGGGCAATGGCTACGCTAAAGATATCAATGGTGGTGGTATTTTGCCAAGGGCTGTGTTATGCTGCTCTGCGCTGTGCCGCGCCGCACAGTGACCTGCCAGGGACGCGCCACAGAACGTGCCAGTAGAAGTGCCAGGGGACGCGCCAGGGGACATGCCGCGTTGAACTGTGCCGTGCGCTATTGCACTGTGGGTCAACCCGTCCTTGGCGTCAGAATCCTGACCGAACTGGTTTGGATCTTAAGCTCGAGCTGTCTGAACGCATAGCTCGGGCTAGTTGTAACCGAAACGCGCGGGGCGATCAACCAGCTCGAGCTCAAGATCCGATTCCGTTCCGCAGCCCACGCTCGAGACACCCTCACAATTTGCTCAGGCATAAAGCCAGACGACCACATGTTGGATATCTCCGTGTAGCCTGGACGCGTGAAGACGTGGTTCCAGTTCGGGACAACCATGTTAGATACCCCCCTGGGCGTCCTGGACACCTAAAAACACACGGTTCCAGCTTGGGACCACCATGTCAGGTACCCCCCTGGGTGGCCTGGACACGCAAAAACACGTCGTTCCAGCTCGGAGCCACCAAGTTAGATATCCTGGGTGGCCTGGACACGTAAAGCACGTGGCTCTGGCGCGGGACCACCATGTTAGATACCCTCTGGGTGGCCTGGGCAAGTGGAAACACGTAGTTCCAGCCTCGGTGCCACCATGTTAGAGACCCGTCTGGGTGGCCTGGGCAAGTGGAAACACGTAGTTCCAGCCTCGGGCCACCATGTTAGAGACCCTTCTGGGTGGCCTGGGCACGTGAAAAAACATGGTTCCAGCGAGGGGCAAGAGGTAACCAACTTAGATATCCACCCCTGGGCGGCCTGAAAACCTAAAAACACGTGGCTCCAGCTCGGGACCACCATGTTAGATACCTTTCTGGGTGACCTGGACACGCAAAACACGTGGATCCAGCTCGGGACCACCGTGTTAGATATCCCCCTGGGTGGCCTGTACACGTGAAAACAGGGGGTTCCAGCTCGGGGCCACCTGTCAGTTACCTCTCTGGGTAGCCTTGACAATCAAAAGCACCTGGTTCCAGCTCGGGACCACATTGTTAGGTACCTCTCTGGGTAGCCTGGACACGTGAAAACACGCAGCTCCAGCTCGCTGTCACCATGTTTGATATCCACCTGGGTGGCCTGGGTTCTGACTCGGGACCACCATGTTAAATACCTCAGTGCGGGAAATCTGGCAAAATTATCAGCCGAAAAAACTGTGTCAAGGTCTTTCGCATCTGGTGTCGACGTATTGATTTTGTCTGGCTCCTGTGGGCTCCCCACGCTGGGATCTTCCAAACGACCACATGCTAGATATCCCCCCATGGCCCGCACACGTAAAAACACATGGTTCCAGCTCGGGGCAACCATGTTAAATATTCCTACAGGTGGCCTGGACATGTAAAAACACGTGGTTCCGGCTCGGGACCACCATGTTAGGTATTCCGGTGGGTGGCCTGGACAAGTGGAAACATGCGGCTCCAGCGCAGGACCACCATGCTGGATACCCCTCTGGATGGCCTGGACACGTGAAAAAAACGTGGTTCAAGCTCGGAACACCCCCCTGCGTGGCCTGGACACGTCAAAACGCTTGGTTCCCTCTGGGGGGCACCATGTCAGATACCCCCTGGGCGACCTGGGCACGTGAAAACAAGCATTTCGCCTGACGCATCCTCTGAATTCTGGTCCCTTGGACACGAGCAATAAGACAAAACGAGGGTTTCGCTCGAGACATCATCAACTTGTTCTGCAAAATGAGCGCTTCGCTGGAGACATCCGAAACAAACGCAAATGTGTATGTTACCCTATATTTCATCGATCGGCCTTTCGAAACCAGCGTTTCGCTCGGGGCATCCTCAAAAGTTAATCCGCCAGCCCTCTTCGACCTTTTGATGTATTGCTAATAAACCTTTCCTGACATGAACGGGAAGCGCGTGAAAGGGAAGATGCGCAAGAACTTGCAGCATCATCGCGATCACATGTAATATAGGCGAGCTCTCCGAACGCTCGCAAGGGATACGTATGGACACTCGCCTCCCAAGCGTTCACAAGCATGTTCCTGAGTATCCTCCTCGCTCCCCCGCATGATGAGGACAACGGCGAAGACGACGACCAGGGGAGGGAGGGGGGGAAGGAGGAGGAGGAGGAGGAGGAGGAGGAAGAGGAGGAGGAAGAGGAGGAGGAGGACGACGACGACGAGGAGCAGCAGGAGCAGAAGCAGGAGGAGGAGAAAGAGCAGTAGCAGCAGCAGGAGAAGAGGGAGAGGAGGGGAGGGGGAAGCGGACGAGGAAGAGGAGGAACAGGAGCAGGAGGAGGGGGAAAAAAGGACGGCGAGGAGAAGGAGGAGGAGGAGGAGGAGGAAGGAGAAGGAGAAAGAACGGAGGAATGGGCGGAAGAAGAGGACGAACAGGAAAAAGAAGAACCCAAGGAGGAGGAAAAGGAGGAGAAGGAAAAGGGGGAGGATGACGAGGAGGAGGAGGAAGAGGAGGAGGAAGAGGAGGAGCAGCAGATGAAGGAGCAGGAGGAGAAGGAAGCGGAGGAGGACGAGGAGGAAGAGGAGACCAGATCTGGTTTCCAAGGCCCGCCAGAAAGCATCTTTAAGGGGGATGCCTCTACGTTTGAACAAAAATGTTGACAACCATAAGTTATCAATCATGTCACGTGTTGTGCCACTTTGGAAATCATTCAAGAGCGCCCCGACCTGGTGCCTTAGAACTACTGGCGCACCCCATGTGGCCGAGGATGTATCAAGCAAAACCGCCATTTGTGGAGGTCCGAATATTACGACAGCGAGCTTCCGTGGATGTCTCGGGCGAAACGCCCATGGCTTTGCATAAGACGTCTCAAGATACAAACCCCATGATCCCGATGTTGCGAGGGCGTCTCAAGCGAAACGCTCGTTGCTCAAACGTTCCTGACATGAACGGGAAGCGCGTGAAAGGGAAGAATTGCGCAAGACCTTGCAGCATCATCGCGATCAAATGTATGATAGGCGAGCTCCCCGAACGCTCACAAGGGATACGTCTGGACACGAGGCCCTCGAACGAAGGAGAGGATAAAGAGGACAAAGAGGACGAGGAGGGAGGAGGACAAGGAGGAACAGGAGCAGGAGGAGGGGCAGGAGCAGGACGACGAGGTGGAAAGAGAAGTTCCGAGGGCCAGTTCGAAGGCATTGTTTAGGGGATGTCTCGAACGAAACGCTGGTTCTTTAACGCAGATATAAAAAAAGCACAGGGATTGTTCAATAATTTGGTTTCTTGGGGCATTTTGGAAGTCATCCGAAAGCGCTCCGAAACGACGCCTTCACAGAGCTCTTGGCGCATCCCATGCTCTCGAGGATGTCTCAGGCGAAACGCCCAGTTTTGGAGGTCAGGAGATTAGACCAACCATCTCAACATCCCCATTGTCCGAAGATGTTTCGGGCGAAACGCTCATTGTTAGCATACGACGTCTTAAGATACGACCCCCAACTTCGCGATTTGGCGAGGATGTCTCAACAGAAACGCCCGCGCTTCGAACCTCTCCTGACATGAACACAAGGCGCGCGAAACCGAATAGTTTGGCAAGAGAAAACATAATTAGGCGTTCTGCCCGACCGTCCGCGGGGACTACCAGCGTCTCTTCGTTAACCCTCCCGGGTCGATGCCAACGCCCATGGCGCGACTGTTCAAGTCTGAACGCGCTTCCCATCATTCGCCAGGCCTGGCATGACGAATCGACCCAGAACCTTTCCCCCCCTGCGCCCCCCAAAATTAAAAAATTCTTCTCTCGCTTCACCCTCCCGGGTCGATGTCAACGCCCATCGCGCGACCCTGCGAGTCTGAGCGCGCTTCCCGTCGCCCGCCACCTGAGGACCCAGGCCTGATCCCGCCACCACTCCACCCCTAGACCCCTCGACTCCGGACCCGTGATCAACGTCCATCGCGCGACTCTTCGTAATCTAGGCGCGCCCCCCGGCATCCGCCACGTCGGGGCCCCTACGCGACCCGCCACCTGGACCCCCCACACTTGATGCAGATTTCCCCCCCGGGCCTGCAAGCAACGCCCACCGCGACTCTTCGAGTCTAAGCGTACTTGAACCCATCCGCCACGCACGGGCGGGCGGAGGCCCGACTCCGCCATCACCCCCCCTGGAACGCCCCACTTGATAAATATGTTCCCTCCGGGCCTACAAACAACGCCCATCGTACGACCCTTCGAACCTAAGCGCGCTTATTTTTTGAAGACGCAACCCCAGCCCAAGGAGGTCTCGCGAGCTTTCGCCAGGCCCACCCGCAGCGGGGTGACCCGCGCGCATGTGTATCTAGGTTACCACACGAGTGGCTACCATCCTCTGGCGGTTGGCACACACGACTGGCCATGGCCCTCTGGCCCAGGGACAGGCGGCACGTCGTCGCAGCCGCGGCGGCACTGGAGACAGCGAGGACGCAGACAACTAGCGACAGCGACACGCATATAGGACAGACCACCCTTCCTAGCAGAGCAAACGGTGGCAACGTCATGCACGGCAACACGAGTACACAAGAATACGAATCAACTGAGCACACGGAAAGTGCACCAGGGCGTGCGAAGTTGCGGCCAGCCGAACCAAACTCAAAGTCACAAGCCACATGATCTGATACTACATGTTGAGACACGTAGGGGACGGCGACGGAGAACCCGCCAAGACGCAAAGAAGAGATAAAGAGGTACCACCACGATCGGAAATCACAACATTGAATAATCCCGAACGACTCTTGATCCAGCAGCTGTAATGGTGAGACATGACTACTGGGAGAAATTGTGCGAGATCCAACTGCAACGGTTCGCCACTGCATCCCGACATGTCAGGCGGTCGCACCAATAGCTCGCCCACCCTCTGGCGAGCGCGGTGCGGAAGGTACTGTAGAAAGTGCCCAAGCTTTACACTGGCTCGCCTCCGTCATGCTCGGCGTTGGACGTCATAGGGCTCCACGGTGGTTGTGCCGCCACCGACCCTCCAGCGTGGTGTGTTCACCTCAGCGACGGCACATAGGAGAACGAGAAGCGGAACATGTCTCACCATCGACCTGACTGCATGCTGTGCGGGGGTTTGCGAACCGGCGGGCACACTGATGCCACCTGAAATCGCTCGAGCCGGGGCCCTCTAAGCAAGCTTCCCGTCATCCGCCAGCCCATTTCGAACTTAGCACCCGGGACAGGTTTACAACACTAAAGAACCGGCCTACACCCTGCTCCTGGAAAACAATACGCGGAGGAGGCCACGACACCTCCCCAACGTATGAGGGGGAGAGACGAAAGTAGTATTCTGATTGTGTAATTGTGGAGGAGGAGGACGGAAGGAGGAGGGAAGGAGGAGCAGGAGGACGAGAAGGAGGAGGAGAAGGAGACGAATGAGGATAGGAAAAATTAGGAGAAACAGGAGTAGAGAGAAGAGGGGGAAGAGGAGGAAAAGGAAGAGCAGGAGGAAGAGGAGGAGCAGGCCAAGCAACAGGAGGAGCAGGAGCTTCTAGAAGCCCCCGAGATCCCGCAGGACACCCCTTGGTCCCCTGCACGCCCCGAAAGCCTCGAAGAACTGCCCCCCCGCTCGCTCCCCTCCCACCCACTCCTACGACGGGACGAACACCAGCCGCAGGAGCGGCAGCAGCAGCACAACGACGACAGCGGCGGCGGCGGCGGCGGCGGCGGCGGCGGCGCCGACGCCGACGCCGACGCCGACGCCGACGCCGACGACGACGACGACGACGACGACGACGACGACGACGACGACGACGACGACGACGACGACGACGACGACGACGACGACGGCGGCGGCGGCGGCGGCGGCGGCGGCGGCGGCGGCGGCGGCGGCGGCGGCGGCGGCGGGCGCCTGCAAGCTGGAGCTGCACCGGGAGGGAGGGCGCGGGCGGCAAGCGGCGGTGGAGGGCGGCGGGGACGATCACCGGCTCGCACCCCTGGCCGTCGGGAAGAGAAGGGGACAGACGGGTCTCGTCGTCGTTGTCGTCGCCGCCGTCGTCGCCGCTGTCGCCGCCGTCGGTTGTCGTCGGCGGTCGTCGTCGGCGGTCGGCGACGGCGTCGTCGTCGTCGGTTGTCGTCGTCGTCGTCGTCGTCGTCGTCGTCGTCGTCGTCGTCGTCGTCGTCGTCGTCGTCGTCGTCGTCGGCGGCGGCGGCGTCGGCGTCGGCGCTGGCGTCGGCGTCGGCGTCGGCGTCGGCGTCGGCGTCGGCGTCGTTGCCGCCGCCGCCCCAGCGGGGGATCGAGGAGGGTCGGAGGAGAGGATCGTCCCGCACCCTCCCCCCCCCCCAGAGGGAACGCGAGCAGGTCGAAGGCAAAAGAGGGGGGCCGATGGGGGTCGAGGAGGGCCGAAGGAAAGAAGGGGGAGGATCGAGGGGGATCGATGGGGATCGAGGAGGGCCGAAGGAAAAGAAGGGGAGGAGCGAGAGGTCCAGGGAAAGGGTCGTCGAGGAGGGCAGAGGGGAAGCGGAGGGGCCTCGTCCCGCACTCCGCCCCCCCGAACAGGGGATCAAGGAGAGGATCGAGGGGGAGGGATCGAAGAAGCCCGAGGGCGGCCGACCGCTCGCATCCCTGGCCGACGAGGGGGGGAGCGGAGGACACCGCCCTTTTCCAGGAGCTTGGGACGCAACTGCTTCGAATGGCGCCGCGCCGGGAACCAGCGACGGAGGCGCAAAACCCACGAACCGCTGCGGGAGGCAAGGCTTGCGAACGGGAGGCGGGGACGAGAACGAGCGGGAGGCGCCAGGCGAGCGGGAAGGGCAAATGAAGACGGGGCACCACTTCCTGCTCTCTTCGGTTCCATGTGGGAGGCAGCGTCGATGCCACCGCCCCCGGAGGACCACAGAATCAATCAGGATCGTTGGCGTCAGCTGACGCCTCCTGGGACCTTTGCTGGTCCAGCAGTCCCTCAAACAGCATCCGATCGAGGCCGACACGCGCCAGAAGCTCACTCTCGCTCCAGCGCTCGCCGGCCGCAGGCTGCGCCTGGGCTGTAAAAACAAACACGAGTCGGGGAGGAGGGGGTTCTGTGGCACCTCCTCCTCCTCTTCCTCCTCCTCCTCCTCCTCCTCCTCCTCCTCCTCCTCCTCCTCCCAGAGTCGAAGACTGCTGGGCCCCCGCGTCGCGCCAATGGTCCGAACCTTGTACAGCTCAGCCCGGCTCGGAAGCACTGCTCCCTCCATCCCCCCCCCCCTCTGCCTGACGAGCGCGCGGGTGGGCCTCCGGCAGGCCTCGGCATGAGAGGCGGCGCCCCCCCCCCCCCCCCGCATATCCTCCGCACTTGGTGCACATGGCGACTCGGCGGTCTCCAGCCATCACTTGTGCCCCTGGGGAGCGTCGTGGCCTTGCAACACCGAAAAGATCTCTGAACCGTGATGTCTGTCAAGCGGGAGATCAAAAGAAAAACAGGACGAGGGCAGCTCGCTCGGGCAACAGTTTCTCTATCCGCTTGTTGAACTTACGCATAGTGGCCTGACGCTCTGGGAACCGCACGCCTCCTTCACCTAGTTCTTGGACTGATTAACCCTTCGGGACAAACTCCCTAAGGCCTTGAACGTAAGATCCTCCTCTTTAGCCGGATGCGTCAGGGCAGCTATCTTGGCATATTCATCGGCCTTGTCATTACCTCTCTTAAGCACGTTTGTCGCGCGTGCTTCGCGCACATCGACCATTAAACAACGTGCGTTCACATTCACAACATTTAAACCATCTTCAGATGATCGATCTACGAATCCGGAAAGAAATTTAGAAACGCAAGGCATGGATACGTGTTCAAGACACCTGATTGGGCGACAGGCAATTGCAATGCTGGAGGTTGCGATCGTGCTGCACCGTGCCAAGGATTGTGCTGTGCAGTGCCGTGAAGAAATGAGAGGCGTCATGCCGCGGTGGATTGCGTTGTATTCTATAGTGTTGTAGATCAACTCGCCCTTGGCATCCGCATCCTGACCGAACTGATCTGGATCTCAAGCTCGAGCTGCCTGAGCGCATAGCTGGCCCAGAGCTGGTTGCACTCCAAACGCGCGGGACGCTCAATCATCTCGAGCTCAATGTCCGACTCAGTTCCGAAGCGGGACGGGACGACACGGGGCGCAGGGCGCATGGACGCGCCACGGAATGTGCCAGGGGCGCACTGGGGGGATGCGCCAGGAGACGCGTCAGGGGACGTGGCAAGGGACGCGCCACGCGACGGGCAGGGGAAGCGCCAGGGGACAAGCCAGGGAACGCGGCAGAGGACGAGCCAAGGGACGCGCCGAGGGGGGAGGCGCATACGCCGTCCCGCTGCGGGGCGTTAGGAACCCACTTGATTCCACGATTGTCCCGCCCTGGGGCGTTAGGAACCCATATGTTTTCAAGCTTGACCCGATCTGGCACGTTCGGAACCCACGCGTTGTCAGGCTTATCCCGCTCTGGGAATTGAATTAGGAACCCATGTATTCACGCTCGTTCCGCTCTGGAGCGTTAGGAACACACGCGTTATCGCGTTCGTACCGCTCTGGGGCGTTAAGAACCCACGCGTGTTCACGCTTGACCACCCCTGGAGAATTAGAAACCCACGCGTTGTCATGTTTGCCCCGCTCTGGAGCACGAGGAACCCACACGTTTTCACGCGTGTCCAGCTCTGGTGCATTAGGAACCACGTGTTTTCAAGCTTGTCCCACTCTGGGGCGTTGGAAGCGTCACGCTCGTTCCGGTCTGGGGCGTTAGGAACCCACGTGGTTCCACAACCCCCCCGCTTTGGGAGGAACCTACATGTGTTCACGCTTGTCCCGCTTGGGGGCGTTAGGAACCCACGCGCTGTCACGCTCCCAGGGCCCCGATCCTTCGCAAATGACTGCCCCACCGCACTCCGAGAACCACCTGGACTTCATGGAACGCCCAGGCCTTCCAAGCGCTGCAAAACAAGCGCTCCGCTCGAGGAGGAGAAGGAGGAGAAGGAGGAGGAGGAGGAGGACGAAGAGGGGGGAGGGGGGAGAAGGATGAGGAGGAGGAGGAGGAGGAACTGGAAGAGAAGGAGGGGGGAGGGGCAAGTTAGGTGCGCTCGCGTCATATCTGACATCCTACCCCTCCCTCCCATCCCTTACCATGGCGCAGATCCCCTCTCTACTCGCACTGTCGGATGTCGAGCAGGGCAATGATCCCGAAAGGGTACGCGGTGCATTGTAGAGCACGGCATGGCATGGCGTAGAAGAGCACCGCGAAGCGTAGTATCAACCTAGCATTGC